TTTGGTAACAATAACTCAAACTTATTAAATGGCTTCACCTACATTTGCCATTTACTTTGAAGCAGCAGTTTTGGTCGCATTTAATGCCTTCTCAGTACTACAGGACACTGTGATAAGCTCCATGAGTCTCTCTCTCTCTTCCTATCTGGGTTTCTCAAGATTTTCATGAGCTAGTGCTGAATGTATAACTCTAGCTTCTACTTTCATTACCAAATTTCTCTCTCTACTCTTCTTTAGTCGGCAAGAACCAAAAAAACCCAGTTCAAGAATTACTTGGAGGGTGTTTCTTTCTTAGGTTGGAAATTTCTTTAGCTTTAAAGGGTCTTTTAAGGATGCTATGATGTTATTACCTTGCGGTCTGAGATCTGAAAGGGTAAGTGTTTATGTTTTCGTTGCAGAAGAAGAGTAGAGACAAGAGGGTTCTTCTTTGACATGGTTGTCTTAATTTCCACTTCAAGATTGGTTTCCTGAATCTTCGGAGACTTGTCTTCTCATGGTTCCTTTGTTTCTTCCACACTAATTCAGCTCTCATTGCTTCGATATTTCAATTCTTTTAGATGTTGCATGCTCTTGATTGCAGAGTTCTACTAAAGAATGGTCTCAGTCATGTGTCTCTTTGCTATTTACCAATCAAGAGTCACAGTCTTACCAAATCTATGGAATGTCTCAGAAAGTGAAGAGAGTAACTAAGAAAAGTGTCGGTTGACTTTGAAAAGGAAGTAATTTTGGTTTAGTGTGTGTAGGATGAGAATTCTTGAAGGTAGAGCAAGGAAGGAATGGAATCTCCTTGTAAAGTTTGTGTTTTTCACTAGTTTATGGCAGCTTGCTTCAGCTCTTGGCTCAATGTCTTCAATTGCAATTTCTTATGGAGAAGGTGGTTCTGTGTTCTGTGGTTTGAAATCTGATGGGTCTCATCTTGTTGTTTGCTACGGATCGAATGCAGCGATTCTTTATGGAACTCCTGCTCATTTTCAGTTCATCGGTTTAACGGGTGGAGATGGGTTTATGTGTGGTCTTCTGATGCAATCTCATCAGCCTTATTGTTGGGGAAACAGTGGGTTTATTCAAATGGGAGTTCCTCAACCAATGATTAAAGGAGCTGAGTATTTAGAAGTTAGTGCTGGTGATTACCATCTCTGCGGTTTGAGGAAGCCGTTAATCGGAAGACGAAAGAGTAACAATGGTTCTGCTTCAGCTCTTGTTGATTGTTGGGGATACAATATGACTAGAAACTTTGTCTTTGATAAGCAGATACATTCACTCTCGGCTGGTTCGGAGTTCAACTGCGGTCTGTCTTATAAGGACAAATCTGTTTTCTGTTGGGGTGATGAGAATAGCAGTCAAGTAATCAGTTTAATCCCAAAGGAAACAAAGTTTCAGAAAATTGCAGCTGGTGGATACCATGTTTGCGGCATTCTTGACGGGTTGAATTCTCGGGTGCTCTGTTGGGGAAAGAGCTTAGAGTTCGAAGAGGAGATCTCGGCGATCTCTGTGGCGGAACAGAATCTTGATTTACCACCAAAAGAGCCACTCTCAACAGTGGTTGGTGGAAAGTTTTATGCTTGTGGAATCAAAAGCTTTGATCATAGTGTGGTTTGTTGGGGATTTTTCGTTAATCGGAGTACGCCTGCTCCTGTAGGTATCAACTTTTACGATCTTGCAGCAGGGAATTACTTTACTTGTGGAGTTCCTTCAGGGAATGCTATGTCGCCAGTTTGTTGGGGTCTTGGTTTCCCTGCTTCTATCCCTTTAGCTGTCTCACCTGGACTCTGTAGAGAGACTCCTTGCCCTCCAGGAAGTCATATACTCGGTAACCGAGACAACTCGCCTTGCAAATCTCTTGGCTCTCACATTTGCTTGCCCTGTAGTACCAGTTGCCCTCCTGAGATGTATCAGAAAAGCGGATGCACAGAGAGATCTGATCAGATTTGTGCTTATAACTGCTCGAGCTGCTCGTCCCCTGACTGTTCCTCGAACTGTTCTTCTTCGTTGACCGCTGGGGGCAAGGACAGAGGAAAGTTTTGGTCATTGCAGTTGCCTATTGCAACTGCAGAAATTTGCTTTGCTCTGCTCTTGGTAGCCATTGTCTCGGTAGTAGCGGTTTTATACATTCGGTACAGATTGAGGCATTGTAGGTGCTCAGGAAGTGATGCAAGGTCTTCTAAAGATTCAGAATTTACGAAAGATAATGGCAAATTCCGTCCGGGTCTTGATGAGCTGCAAAAGCGCAGAAGGGCTCGAGTGTTCACTTACGAGGAACTAGAAAAAGCTGCCGAAGGATTCAAAGAAGAATCAATAGTGGGGAAAGGGAGTTTCTCATGTGTGTACAAAGGGGTACTGAGAGATGGAACTACTGTTGCTGTGAAGAAGGCGATAATGTCATCTGACAAGCAGAAGAACTCAAATGAGTTTCGCACGGAGCTTGATCTGTTATCAAGACTCAACCATGCTCATTTGCTTAGCCTTCTTGGTTACTGTGAAGAAGGAGGAGAAAGGCTTCTGGTTTATGAGTTTATGGCACACGGCTCGCTATACAACCATCTTCATGGAAAGAACAAGGCCTTGAAAGAGCAACTAGATTGGGTCAAACGAGTAACGATTGCTGTCCAAGCTGCCAGAGGAATCGAATACTTGCATGGTTACGCTTGCCCTCCTGTGATTCACCGGGATATAAAATCATCAAACATTCTTATAGACGAAGAACACAATGCTCGAGTAGCTGATTTCGGTCTCTCCTTACTCGGTCCTGTCGATAGCGGCTCTCCTTTAGCAGAACTGCCAGCAGGCACTCTCGGTTACCTTGATCCCGAGTACTACCGACTACACTATCTCACAACAAAATCTGATGTCTACAGCTTCGGAGTCCTGCTTCTCGAGATCCTAAGCGGAAGAAAAGCCATTGACATGCACTACGAAGAAGGGAACATAGTAGAATGGGCAGTTCCTTTGATCAAAGCAGGAGATATAACCGCAATCTTGGACCCCGTCTTGACACAACCATCTGAAATCGAAGCTCTGAAAAGAATCGTGAGCGTGGCCTGCAAATGCGTAAGGATGAGAGGGAAAGATAGACCATCAATGGATAAAGTGACAACATCATTGGAACGAGCTCTCGCACAGCTAATGGGAAACCCGAGCAGCGAGCAGCCAATATTACCAACAGAAGTAGTTCTTGGGAGTAGCAGAATGCACAAGAAGTCATGGAGGATCGGTTCAAAAAGATCAGGTTCCGAGAACACGGAATTTAGAGGCGGGTCATGGATAACTTTCCCGAGCGTGACATCATCGCAGAGGAGGAAATCATCGGCATCTGAAGGAGATGTAGCGGATGAGGAGGAGGAAGGAAGGAAACAACAAGAGGCGTTGAGGAGTCTTGAGGAGGAGATAGGACCAGCTTCTCCTGGACAAAGCTTGTTCTTGCATCATAATTTCTGAGTAAAAAATGTTTTCAAGTTTTTTAGCAACAATGAAATATAAAATATTTACTCTGATGTATAATGTGTGTGCAAGGCAGGAATGTAACAAAAAGAGAGTAAGAATGTTCAACTAATTTTTACTAAGTTCTTTTGTATAAATGATCTTCCCCGAAGAAGGAAAACTTTTCCTACGATAAAATAATGGGTGAATTAGCTT